TATTTGAACCACCCTCTATATATATATATATATATATATATATATATATATATATGTGGGTAAGAAGGTGGATACTCACGTATAGATTCAGAAGATTTTATGTCAAGTTAGGAAGGAAGTATATAATAATGTAAACATGGTTTAATGATCATCTGATGTGACTCAAATTAATATGTTACCTTCAACTTCAAGTGCTCATAACTCATCCTGTTAAGTTATATAATATTCTATCACTTTCTAAGAATTAAGCAGGGGCGGACCTGTATGGGAGCATACGGTGGCACGTGCCACCGTATTATTTCGCCTCCGAAGGGTAAAAATTTTAGGTTTGTTAACGGTGCTACCGTATCGTTTCGGAAGGTGCTACCGTATTTTTTATAAAATTCAAAGAATGGTGCTACCATATCATCATGAAGGTGGTGAGAAGAAGCAAGAAGACGCCGGAAAACCAGAGGATGCGGCGGCGGTGATGGAGATGAGGAAGAGAACCCCAATTCTACCCCACAACCAAGTTTGAATCATGTTAGTGTCATTTTMTTAGTCAAACGGTGGCATCGTTTGAAAAAAATTTCCTATATTTTTTTTCTTATGGTCAAGTGGTGCTACCGTTTAAAAAAATTTCTGGGTCTGTCCCTGGAATTAAGCCTTGATGAATCAGCAACACATATCTTTTACTAGCAAAGAAAGGATATATATATAGTAGTTACTTGTAATTAAGCATCCATTTTCTAGAACGAAGCACAATTGTTTCCTATATATATTACATTTTGGTATCTTTTAGATTGCTTACTCAGGATCCATATTAAAACAAAAACTACTCTTGGAAGATGAAAGTAGTGACTATTATATATACAGTAAATAAAACCATCAAACATAACTACAAGGGTGGTGCTTGATTAACCACAAGGGTGGTGCTTGATTGGTTTGAGCTTGAGTCCAAAGGTCAAAAATACCAGGAGGTTCTAGGTTCAAATCCAAGGAGGAAAAAAAATCCTCTTGTGGCCACGGAGGTTCAAATGCGGTGACTTCGGGCTATCTGCAAAGCAGGTGGTTGCCCTGGGATTAGTCGGCTCGCATAGCGGGTTGGATATCCAGGTTAATAAAAATTAAAAAAAAAAAAACCATCAAACATTTTGAAAATTTAACCTTAGTTATCTAAGTCAGGTTTTCTAGGCTAGCTATTTCAAAGGGCTGCCAAGTCTGTTCACGAAAACCTCAGTTTTCTAAGTATCAAACTAGAGGCATGCCCACCTCACAGTATATATTTATATTTATTTATAAGAAGGTTAAAACGAGAAGATTAATTAAATAAAAGAATATGAAAACGGTTAAATCACGTGCAAAATCACATGTGATTTTACATTAGCAGTCAACGCAAAGGTATGCGGCGACGTGGCCGGCGACTATGTCGCTTGAATCTCACGTGATTTTAGTCTAACATTATATGTGATCCGACCATTTTCTTATTCTCTTATTTAGTTACTGTTTTTGTATGAAACTCAATCCATATATATATATATAGAGGAGTGATCATATGAAAACCGCCCTCATTTGTGTAAACC